TCTTGAACAATCTTGTGACGTAAAACTATGCAACCTATGAAGGTTAAAATCATCATGAAAGCAAGCAGAATCAGGCACGTGCCATCACAAATATGTGCAAGCCAGACTATTATAGCCCACTTGCACAAAATAGGGGATCAAGAGTAACAGACAGTCGGCTGCTGACCCACAGGTCACTGTATCGAATCCCGGCTGCAGTGGCTGCATTTCCGATAGAGGCAGAAATGCTGTAGGCACGTGTGCTTAGATTTGGGTGCACGTTAGAACACCAAGTGGTCAAAATTTCCAGAGCACTCCACTACGGCGTCTCTCATAATCATATGGTGGTTTTTGGACGATAAACCCCATTTATCAATCAAAAACAACAGAAATGAACTGCCAGCAGAACTTCAGTCAGTGCAGTTATGTTGTCACCACTTTAGAGTATACATTTATTTATTTGCAAAGTTGACTGATCTAATGGACATTGTCAGCTAATGTGCAATGCATTAGGCACGTAATATATTTACGTGTACATGTATCGTTATGTGTATGTACTTTTATGCTCACACAATGTAACTGCTTTATTTTACAAATTAGTGTGATAATTTTTTTCAAGAGTGAAAAAAAGAATAGGTATGTGTGCTTGTGGTGCTCATGTGTGTTGTGTACAGTGTAATAAATGCAGTTTACATTTATATCATACTTGTAATACATTGCACAGTAATTCATACATTATAATATATTGCACATACTGATTTGTTCTGAATGATGACTGTCTTAGTCATGAACAAATTTAAGTATTTGAGACAAAATTACAAGTTCTACACGACATAGCTTTGATGGACATTTATTGCTGCCTGACAATTGTCATTGGTGTGTTTATTACCTAATTATTAGTGAGTGAGATGAACATGTTCATGTACTTGTTTTATTCGCCGAATTGAAGTCGCTGAGTGCTTTTAGGCATGTTCACCTCTGAGATTATCAGAAAGCAGCTCTTAGAATTGCCACCTCGAGCTTTGGCCGGCTTAAATTTTGCAAATGCGACGTGCTTTAGAAATTCATGTGAACTTAGCTTTGTCACACATTTTCTGGTGTCCACCACCAATGGCCAGAATAAAACGTCTGAGCTCTTCACTTGTTAGTAATTGGGCATGGCTGTCATGGAAACATCCAGTACATGAATGACACATAGAGGTAGTTGGAGCACCCAATTTTGCACATTCCTCAATGTGCATTGTTTGGAAGCGGCATTGTCCTGCTTTTAGTGTTTCTTAAGTATTGTGTGCAGCAGTCACATGAGCAGAGGTTCCTGGCGCTGGGTGTTTGATGTGATTCAGTTTTTGTTTGAAGTTTTGTTTTTGTAGTTGTTTCAGAGTGGTGCTGTCCTTTGGTTGTGAAATACCGTTTCTTATTTCTGCAGATAACATAAAGCTGTTTCTGCAGCACTCCTAGTACAAGCTCCATCTTTAGGAGCGCAACAGTTTGATTTGTATACGTAGCAGTGTTCTATGCCATCTCAAGGTTGCCTTTTTTTACCGCTAGGATATCTATTCTGACGCTGCAGTGAGGTTTCAAAACTCGTTTGAACGTTTCCGATACGTATAGGCACTGAATCACGTGTTTGGAATTCAGTTAGGGCGTCTTTACTTGGCTTTCGCTTGACTAGACCGGATTCGAGTACATGCGATGGAAGCAGCAGTACCTTCAATCAGTAGTGGCGCACAACGACCATTAGCGTCCCACCACTCGTTGAAGGCAACGCTTCTCCTTCCTTCAGTAAATAAGAACGATGAAGACGAAATAACAATTAGGCACTCCTGACCTATACTAATTATGCAACATTCATGCGATACCGCCACCACTCTGCGACGCATTTACTCGAGTTCCTCCGCGGGAAGATGCGGGCGGCTTTCACGGGCGAAGCTCCTTAAAGCGGCACCCATTCGTCCCTCGTCGTAGTGTGTAAGCAGTCTTACGTTTGACCTGCAAGGTGGGGCCGGGGAGAGATTTCTTCTGTGCGTTGTTGAAAAAAAAAAAAAAATCGCAGCGTGCGCGTTAACTGAAAGCCGAATTATCTGTCTCTCATTCCCCATTAGTATTGCCACTGGCATGTACATTGAACACTATATGACACTCACTGGGCGTAACCTCCTTGGTTTTAGAAAGCTTTAGCCAGCGTTGGGCCGCAGTACCATGAATACAGTGAACTAGTTTATACCATGAACTCGAGGTAGTTAAGGTGTGAAGTAGACACGAAACGCAAGCCGTAAGAAAGTGTGCCTGTGCCGCCTCTCGTTTAGCCTTGGAATGTCCGCTGGATGGCGGCGCTTCTATATGCGGAATATTTGATGAAAAGATGCGAGGTGGTAGTACTTGGAGTATGACTAGATGAACGAATGGACACACGGACATATGCATGGACGGACGCACGGTTGGCTGCACGGACGGACGGATGCAGGACGGACGCACGGATAGACGTGCGGCCGCACGAACAGACGCACGCACGGCCGAGCGGATGGAGCATGGACAGTCACACAGACGGATGCTTGGACGGACGGAAGCGAGAACCATGGACAGACAGATACTTCGCCCCATCCTCCATATTCACCCCGTGGATATGCTGCCGTTTTTTTACTTATAACGTGGTTGGTTCAAATAGCTATTATTATGGCCACTGGAAAAAAAACAACCTTATTTTTTATCCAGCGGCCGGGCTACTATAATTGATTGATATGTGGGGTTTAACGTCCCAAAACCACTATATGATTATGAGAGACGCCGTAGTGAGGGCTCCGGAAATTTTGACCACCTGGGTTCTTTAACGTGCACCCAAATCTGAGCACACGGGCCTACAACATTTCCGCCTCAATCGGAAATGCAGCCGCCGCAGCGGGATAAGGCCGGGCTACTATAGTCCGCGGCATTGCGTCCTCAAAGAATTGCCTCTTCAGCTTTGGAAGACCGCGGCATTGCCTCCTCATAGGCATACGAGAACAAGCTTGCGCTAATAGGTGCACACTCCAGGCAGCCGTCATGACCCTAACGGCCAGTAACCCGCCTTGGGAGAAGACTGCCGAGTGCATGGGCGAGGTTATTAAAGTCTTTCTTGGGGACCTTCGACGCAAAAACAATTTGGTCTCTGTGTACATTTTTCGGTTGTCCACCGTTAACGGTACCGGGTACTCTAAACGGCACCAGCCGATACCCAAACGGCCGACCCCATCTGCAGCGCCCACAAATGTTGCTCAAAATTCAGCGTTCATACTTGTGCAATTGTCAGTTAAAAAGCAGTTATTGCGCATATCTGAGGCACCATAACAACACGTATATGATCTTCATGTGCGTCTTGGACTAGAAAAGGCATACATAAGAAATTCTAAGGACCGTAGTGCTTATCACGCTGCGCTGACCATGCAACGCGTGCACGTAAAGGCGAGTGTTTCCAACGCTTTGATAAGAGGGCACGGTGGTGGCCCCTACCCTCGGCTTGCGTTCTACACCTTATCACCTCTAAGACGGGCGCGCACGCCCGTTCGAACGCGCAACGTTTTCGAAGAAAACTGTCAGATGGCACTCATGTCTCACGTGTGACGTGACTTGATGCGCTCGTTCGCCTCCGCTGAACGCTCGAGGCACTTCAACACAGCGCCCCAGAATACCGTTCACCGCTTTTCTGGCACAGAACATTAAATACATGTTTTGTTCACTCTCTACACAAGCAAGACTATCGTCTTTCGACTACATTTGCAGATTAACATGCAGATAGGGGCCAATTTCAGGGGCGAAACAAAAGGAAGTTTATGCCCTTCTGCCAAGTAATCAAATTATCTTCTCCGACACTTATCACGGACACACGCGGTATGCACACCGATAAACAAAAAAATGTTTAGATAATACATTACAACAGAAGCGCGATCAATCGAGCACTAGTTATACAAAGATTACAGAGCGCTGGACAGCCAGTGCCCAAAAGAGCCCATTTCCGTTTACGGGCGAAAAAGGGTCTGATAATGGTCGCCGCTGTTCGGGCTCCAGAGAACTAAGGGGTTAATCCGTACCGAGAACAGATTCGAGACACATCAATATTCAGATTCGAGACACAACAGATTCAGACACATCACAGGAGGGGATGGGCATTGGCACTTTCCGTTTTCTGCTTAGGAAACAGTGGGACGCAGTGGCTGGCGTGCGCTTAAAAAGGGGTTATCGGCAGTCGTAAATTGCCTTTTTGCAGGAGAAAAAACCTTGCATGCCAACGGTGGAGAAAGTTGTCCTCGCCGCTGGCTTCAAGTTGGTCTGCGAGGTGCCGCCCCATCATGTGGCGGATACGAGCTACGGTCGGAAAGGCCGCTCTGACCAGAGAGCGGCTAAGAGGCAGCGTCGCTTCCAGACCGTGAATATGGTGCAGAGGGCCACTAACTTTGCAAAGGCGCCTTTGTTTCGGTTCAGGGCTGGGGTGGGGGCGGATTTTAAAATCCTTCGCAGTCAGGCGCCGAACCGCTTTGACCGCTGGGCACTGAAATAAGGCATGCGCCAAAGTCTCATCCAGCGACGGCAATTGGGACAGCGAGGTGTAGGCGTGATGCCAAACTTGAGGGAAGCGCTGGCGGGTTCGGGAAGAACGTCCCAGTTTTTCCTCCATGCGAAGCTCTTGGGCGTACGAAGGGATGACACGCCCATCTGTTTTGCCTTTCCGCTTCCAGTTACTGCGACCAGTCGCCTGTCCTCGGGGTCATCTGGTTGCTGGCTGATTTCTTCCACAATGCGAGCAGGCGGGGTCTCATTCTATGTCGCCCGTAGGGGCCTCCTTTTCTAGCATGCGCATGGTGTTTCGGCTGCCCTTATAAACGCGGAGGGAGTCTAGGCGAGTGGGGCTCGCGGCCGGTCGGTATTCAGAAACGATGCGTTTGTACTGCACCAGAAACGCATTAAGGGCCTCCCCACGTTATCAGCTGCACGAAACAAGGCCGTTGCGGTCTTCAAGGCGAGCACTTTAGCTCGCCGTCAGGACATACGTGAGCCCGAGGCCACCCTCTGAAGCTGGAAGTTGCAGGAGGGTTCGACGTAAGGGCGAGGGTTGCCATCCCACAGGTAGGCACCGATCATACTGTCATTGCGTCGCAGTCTTTGTCGGCATCACAGCTATTTCGGCTTACATACAAAAAGGAAAGGCGCAGATGGTTGTCATTGCGGCTATGGCCCTCTCATGAACGTGTGGATCCTTCTGTTGGGCGTGCTATTGCATCCTGTGCCCGCTCGAGCGCTCGTTGCCAGGTTAGGTTCGGCGACGCACCGCAGCAAAAGTATATATGAGCACCTTGACGGCGATGACCCTTTCCAACTCTCCCAGAGCGCCATGAGGAATGTTCCAAATGGTAAGGCCTTGCTCTTTCTCATGTACAAGGCCACGCCTGAGACGTCAGCATAGTGTGCGAATGTTCGCCAAAAGCTTGCAGGCTTGCCGGGTCCCTGAAAACCGCGAAATCATCAGCGTAAGAGGACCTTAACGTTGGACTCCCCCGTTAGCGGAAAGCGTCTGACGAGCGTGTTCCGGTCAATGTTCACCAGCAACGGCTCAAGCGAGAGTACGAAGAAAGGGGCCCTAGCGGGCATCCTTGGCGGATCCCTCTCTCATATACAAGTTAGTCGTCGTGGTGCCGTTTACTACAACATGGCGTGTGAGGTTACTGTACAGGAGGGCGATGTGTCTAGAAAGCATGTCGGGAAGCCAACTGGTAAAGTACCTCGATCATGTATCCATGGCGCACCCGCGAACGCCTTTGCCTGGCCCAAGGAGACAAAGGCTCCAGACAGGAACTTGGCAGACCATGTATTCGAAGGCATCCCTTGTTACGGTAAGATTGGCAAAAATGGAGCGGCCTGGAGCCGCACAGGACTGCCAGGTAGCAACGATGGATGGCAAGAGCCTTAAGGCGGCTATTAATGGAAAGCAACCATTTATAGTCCACGTTCAACAGGGTTAAGGGGCGCCACCCCGACACCCGACGCTCCTTTGCGCCGCTCCCTCTTTCAGTAGGAGGGTAATCCTCCCTCTCCCCAAAAGATTCGAATTTCAGTTGCTTCGTAACCACCATGTTCGCCAGTACGACAAGCACTCCCTCTAGGTCGTCGAAAAAAGTGGCGTAAATGGTGGCTGTAAGGCCGTCAGTGCCGGGGGCCGAGTTCGGGGGCATGCTGTTATCGCTCCCATAACCTCTTCTGCAGACACTTCCGAGCTCATTGACGCAACCTCCTCTCCTCCCAGCCGTGAGAGGTGCTGGCAGACCTCTCCAATCTTGTCTTATCCGCCAGTTTCTCTGTCGCTGTCGGCGTCCCGAAAAGGGGCCGAGAAGTTCTCGCAGAAGACATCGCGGATTCCCTCTGGTTCAGTTGCGAATGAATCGTCCGGGCGTTTACTCGGTGATTCGTATGCTGCCATTCCCAGTTGTGTCACTGGTGTGCTCTCAGGTGGTTAATGGGTGCGCCCCGCTCCCCAGCGGTCTGCGCGCGCGCAGTTGAAGAAGCCGGCGTACTCGACCTCTAGGGTGGTCAGATAGTCGCGCATGCATGTCGTCAGCGTCTCCGCCCCCCTGACGATGCGTATTCTGCGCAGGATCTCGTTCAGTTTAGCGGTTATGCGGCGCTTCCTGGCCTTGCCTTCGTCTTGAAGGATTCCCTTCCACTCCGCTGTCAGGGTGTCCCACGATCGTGAGGTTAGGTCCGGGCGTTCGCCACAGAGGCCCAGCCGCACCCTAATGCGCTCGATGCTATCATCGTCTTGCAGGTGCGCTGGGTCCACTCGCCACCCATGGTCTTCAGTACGGAGTTCAGGGAGCCGCTAAGCGTACTGACAAGGGAGGTGATCTGATCGACTCGCTAGGTCTGCCGGGGGAAAGGACCTCGCACGCCACGAGCGAGGGCAGGAGTAAGTCGGGGATACGTCCGATATAATCGGCTGGCTGTGAGGTGAGAAGCTTGAGTTGGGACAAAAAGGTCACCGTGCCGATGAGCCACGCGTCGGATAATCGAAGGTGTCGAAGAGTCTTCATGAGCTCCCTAGCATGGTACGTAGACTCCCCTTGGCCCGGTCCCCTGACGTCGCTCTGCGAGTCCATGACACAGTTGAAGTCCCCCAGCAGGACGCGGGACGGGTTCCGAAAGAAGGTCGTGCAGCTGCTGGAAGATGGTGTTTGTGTTCTTCCGCGTCGCAGGGGCGTACACGTTCACGAACCGAATCCGTCTTTCGCTGATGTAGAGGTACACATGAGCGACCTGCCGTCAGCACCGAAGATTCAGAACGCCTTTTGCCGGAAGCGGCGCGTAGTAAAGACCACTCACTCCACAGGCCTTTGATTTAGTTAGGGAGAAGGCGTCCACCTGAACTCGCGTCTGAAGATTGAGACCTCTGAGGGTGACCGGAAGTTAGTCTCTTGTAAAACGAGCACATCAATACTCTGTGCTTGGGCGAAGGTCAGAATGTCTCGCTGTTTCGATTGTCCCGAAATCCGCGGACGTTCCAGGTGGCGAACTTGAGAGTTGACATGATCTGCTGTAGTGGGCGTGGGGAGAGGACTTGGGGTGAAGGAGGGGGGGGGCGACTGCTTGCGCCGGGACGGCACGCTCGAAGGAGCCGAGCGTAAAGGCGCAGGCGGCACGGTTGCTAGTTGGGCTAAAGAGCCCTAAGTGGTTTAATGGATGCGTCATAGGAGCCGTGGTGCCGATTACTCGCAAGGGCAGCAGGCAGTTGTGCAACAGATAAGTATAAATAAAAAACACTGCCATGCCTTTGGCTGGCGAAAGGAGCAGAGGGTGAAAGGCAGTAGGCGGCGGGGCCACCACTGGGGTTCTTCGATTTCAGGCCTCAGGCAGCTCTCTGGCAACCAGAGCTAGCCAGAGTCAGCTAGCTAGTTCTGGTCTGGACAGGAAATAGCGTGGTGGTCACGAGTGTGGGGAGCCCGAGAGGACCCGAAGCAGTCCGAAGATCGCAAATCGAACGCTGGGACAGCCAGCGTAAACGTAAACAAACTCTGCCGTCATGGCAGCAAACCAAACAATTCGCCACGTGTATGTTGTTTTTTTTTTCTGCATTTTCACTTGGAAATACGTACTAAGCTCGTTACAAAGCTGAAATGATATCCTCAGCGTACACATTTGGAGTACGACTTCATACGCTCGCACGATCACTTGCCGCGTGCGCGAGCGAAACAGCCAGCTGGCGCATGCCTCCTCGAGTACGACGCAAGGTGAGCTGCCGTGACACTGACGGCTTAACAGCTCACGCCTCTTTAGTAGATGTATCAGTCACTGCACAACACGACGCGAAGTCACGCGAAAGTGATCGTGTCCCCAAAAGAGCTCGAGATACACCCCTAGTATGCGTCGCTTACACGCGTTGACCAACTTACGTTTTTGTCTAAAGTTAACACATGCGTAGGTATCGGTACTACGAATGCGCTCGTATAAAATAAACTTACGCATAACACGTTTACAACTCGTTTCGGAACTTGCCTGGGCATGTTTTCCAGTCCTAAGTGGTACTTAACAATGTCATGTATATCAGTTTGATTTGTCCTACTAGGCTTAGTACATACTACGCGGCATTATTACCAAGAGGTGAAAAAAGACAAAGCCAACCATGAAATGGGCAACGAAAGAATGTACATATTTCTGAATCCATTCTCCGTTTTTTTTTCCCGCGCCTATCGTATCTTATCATACCAAATATGCAGGCTCATAGATAGAAATGGGTTCGCACGCCGTTCGCGACCAGCGAGCATCACCGACAGTGGCGATCTAGGGCCTTTTATTACCATCGAAGATCAATCGAGTAGTCAGGACAGAGGTTCTAAGAGGTTTGCGTACGCAACACGACGGAGCGAGCTAGTTCGATCACAATTGTCTTCGTTATGTGAACAGAAAGCAGGCCCAGCTCCACAAACGCCTCTTTCGAAAACGAAAAAAAAAACTCCAAAATTGTCTTCATGCGTGCGCACGAACGTAAAGTACGTACATAACTTTTAAGGAATGTGCACGACGCAGTCGACAGGCAACAAATCATCGCGTTGTTCAGAGGAGGAAGCTTCACGGGAAACACAACAAAGCAATGAACAGTAGCTTCATACACTCGCCGCCACTCGTAATCGCCTCATCTCACAAGGCGAACAGGCTTTAGAAGATAACGCCACACTTAATGATAAGCGAAGGCGCAGTCCTCAAGCGCCCACATTGCAATCCATGGAGTCCTCAACAAACATGGCACCGAGCACGCATCGTGCCTTTTCGGCGTCTGCTAGCCTCAAACCTGTCCAAACCTTCCAGAAAGCTTCCACGCTAAATCGTCCTGGAAGCGTCTGGCGACCCTCGGGCTCCCGGCGGTCGCCAGAACCGTCCAACCCGAGAAAACAAACGCCAACCGGAAGTGCGCTGCGGGGGGGGGGGGGGGCAGCCTGAGAAAAACAAGTGCGAAAACACGAACGTCACAGTGTACGATCCTTTTAGCAGCAAAGTTATTTTTTAGTGCGCTCTTCTTTCTTCGCACTTACATTGCAATTACTGCTAATGATATTCCAGGTCGTTTCCTTGGAATCATTGAGTTAGTTCTCATTAATATTGCGCCGAACAAAAAAAAACGAGCCCTTCACTTTTTACTTCTTCACCTCCCTCGCTTCTCCACCTACACAGAGGGCGAGGGAGGTCAAGGTAGTCTTAGTGCAGTCAACCTGAAGTATGCTCTGTAAAAGTAAGTACACTTGGTTTCATAAAAAGCTGGCGTTGTCAAAACGAGCGAGTGATTTTTGTTCCCCTAAAAGAGTATACTGACTGAACTATTTAATGGACTTAAAAAACAATGTTTAATTAATCACTCGTCAGTATGCCAGAAAGCTAACGGACACACTTCCTTGATTGCATTATTGCATAAACCACAAATATAGGACTCAAACACCGCATATAGGATAAAAATTTCGCTCCCACTAGCGACGCTGCTAAAGCGCAGTCAGTTCTTTTGTGTTTCCCTTGCTTTGTGTTTTTTTTTCTATGGCTTTGGTAGATGGCAAGCCCGTATTGGCAACCGGTAGCTTGTCGCAGAATACGCGCCTTGCTCATGT